CGATATTGTCTATTTTGGGCCCCTACCATGCCCTCACGGTTTTGTTTCTGGGAAATCACACGAGAACTTCCTAGTGGGTCACCCATCCTAGAAATGCTCTCGTGTGAACTCGCTTAACTTCGGAGTTCCTACGGAACCCGAAACCAATGAGCTCCCAAAAGGCCTCGTGTTAGGTAGAGATGAGAATATACATATAAGGCTTACATGATCCACTCCCCTGGGCGATGTGGGATGTTACAATCCACCCCCCTTAGGGGCCCGACGTCTTCGTCGGCACATTTCTGTCCAGGGATTGGCTCTGATACCAAATTGTCACATCCCGGCCTAGGCTCCCACCACATCTCGAGCCCGACTTCACCATAACACGATATTGTCCGCTTTAAGCCCTTATCACGCCCTCACGATTTTGTTTCTGGGAACTCACATGAGAACTTCCTAGTGGATCACCCATCTTGGGAATGCTCTCGCGTGAACTCGCTTAAAAACTAAAAAACTAATAAATAATTAATTTAATATTTCAATTGGAGAAGAAGTGGGCCTTACTCCTGCCATATCATCGTTTAACAGATAAATTGACAAAAAATTTAATGGAGGTTTCACATTGCAACGAATTCATCAGTTGAGGTATGACATTGTAATGTTTAGAACAAAAGGTATGACATTGATGGACCCATAATTGAGGTAGTTTTGTGTAATTTACCCTTTTTTTAATCTTACTTTTAAGAAGATAAAACATTTAGTATGACTGAATGAGAGTGAGTACTTTGTTTTGTCATTGACTCTAAAATTGAAAGTCTACCTTTTTGCCTATACTATACTAGTTGATTTGAGTTTTAGCCAACATATTAAGTAAAATTTATCCCAATAATAATAATAAGAAACTCTCATAATAAAAATAAATGAATAAAACTTTAACTTATGTAGAATAATAATGCAACAATACATATTTAATACAATATATACATTATGGCTATTGAGTTTTATGGTAAGTCTTTTCAGTAGTTTAAATTATTAAAATATTTTTTTCCTTAACGTGTTGAACCGGGATACTTGTGCATAAACCTGTTAAGGATCCATTATTAACAGGTTCTTATTGTGTGACCCGATAATAACCTGATTAATTATCGTGTTGACTCGAAACCCGTTATTTACGTGTCATGTTAACGGATCATATAAGTAATTGCTTGGTCTAGTGGGAGAGCAATAATGTGGTTCAAATTCGTCTTTTGCGAGAATCGAACTTAAAACCTTTTACTTATAAGTGAAGATGAATACTATTAGACCATAATACTAATATTAATCTATATATATAAAGTGAGAGCCCCAGTTTGGTGAAGCATTATAAAATACCAAGAATGCCCTCATTTCAAAAAATAAAACAGCACAAACCCATTCCTATATAGAAGGACTATAATTGTAATACACAAATAAAATAGGGTTAAAATCGTAAAGTCAGAATTCAAAAACGAAAGTAATATTTAAAATGAGGACAAGACAGTAAAATCAGTGGAACAAAACAAAACATGGAGAAGGCACACGGGGAATGGATCGGAAACTGCTATGCGTCTAACCGGGAACCGTTTTGCGGAATGAGAGATAAACGTGAACGTGCAGAGTGGGTTGAGGAGGAAAAAAAACGCCCTAATCGTGCAAAAAGGAGCAGTTTTGGTGGATGAGAGATATATAGAAGGACACAAAATAAGAACCTGAAAAGAAAAATATGAAAAGTCTTGCAGGAAGAGAAGATGGTACTAAAGCCATTGCTCGCTCAGGTTTGCTCTTCTCTAATTCCATGCAGTTGTTGGAACACTACACTCTTTTCATTCTTTTTGTTTTTTTCAATGGGTCACACAATTTGGTTCTAAGATGAGCACATAGTTATGTTTTCTTATCTTGCAGCTTTATGAACAAGGATTGGGTGTTTATTTCTCTCTGGTGATTCTGTGGGTGAATCACAACTGAAGCGAACATATTGACATTGTTTTGCTGGAGAATAAAGTACATTATTCACACTGAAGCAAGACTTCTTTGATTTACATCTCAATGTGCAGTTTTGCGGGAAGAGCTAAATAAAACACAAAATAAAAGAGAGAATCTGGAGAGAACAAATTGAAATTGTTTTGCTGGAGAAGATGAAATTGGAAAAAAACCAACAAGAACTGGTCCTTTGAGAAAGTCGGTAATAAAATTTCTTTTGTGGTTAATCTTTTGTGTTTTGTTCTCTGCTCCTTATTCCTTAATGTTAATCTTCTCATGCATTTCCACAGGATTATTGAATCGAAGTTCTTCTACCATCAATCAATTGCTGGAATTTTCATAATCGTGGAACAAACAATGAACAAGGTTTGAAATTAGTTTTCTTTGTAATCAATATTGCCATTCTGTTTTTGCCTTGGGGAGGCTTTGGAAATGGTTAATTTTTTGTTTTCGTTTTTATCTTTTATTACAAATTATTCATTGTTTTATATAGTAGTTTTTATATTTCAAGTACTAAAGTAATTTTCATTCATCATTTTACCATCATATGTCAGACTTAATGCAAAAGACAATAACGTATGAACATGGCATTAGATTTCAAACTGCTATGAGTAGTTGCCATTTGATTTCACCTTCAATTGATCGTCAGTCTCTAATCCTCAGTGTCTGAGGTATTTGCTTCCACCCTTTTCTTCCTTTTTGCCTTCTTTGGCTTTAACTTCTATCTCTCTTTTTATTCTGCATTTTAATTTCATATTCTGGGATAGTTTCTATTAATCCATTATCCCCAGTTTTTCCCAGTCTTTTTCCTGCTTTTTCCCGTACAAAGTGTATTGCAGGAAGGCGGAGCATCATATGGCCATTTTTAAAGGTAATTCCCCGGAATCTATTGCTTAATTTATATTTTTCTTATGGTTTAGAACCTTCAACAACTCCTCAGATCATACGTATTTGGAATAAAGTCCAACAAATAAGGCACAACACCATTTCTTACCTATTTATTTTTAATGGCATTCTCTATATCATTCTACAAATTAATTATCTCAAATTATAAAATAAAATAAAACAATTTATGGGTGCAGAAAAAAAATTAACAGTGACCAAACAACTTTTCTAAATACGGTAAATCTTCTCTTATTTTCATACAAAAGTATACTATAAATTCAAATTGCATTCAATTTTCAAATATAAATAAAATTGCATTTTTTGTCAGTTTTACAAGCATCACACCCGTCTCAAAGTACAAGGGTTGAAATACAAGATTAAGGTAATATTTCTTATTATTTAATTTTGTAAATATGGTTACAATTTGTTACCTCAAACTTGACAAATATATTTATCTTTCAGTATTCTACAAGTAACTGGAGTAAAAGTATTTCCATGAGAAAATTGTCAAACTTAAAGGTATTTAGGTTAAGTTGCTTACAATCTTTATAGTTGGGATTGTGCATTATAGTTAGACTTCTTATTTTATCATCATTGCTTGCCGATTAACCATGAAAATCTAAAGCATCAAGTGCAAGCAAATGGGTGGCAATCATGGCTTTGATTTCACACGTAGGCGCTACGTTTACATATGCACATGTTGTCCATATTTTGCTTTGCTTCATATATTAGGAGTTCATCCCTAGCTAGCCTATAACTTTGATTGAAAACTTATGAATCTGAAACATTTTGATTTAAGGACATTAAGTGTTGTCAATATGTCTTTAGAAATCAAATTACATGTCATATTTTCATATTTTTTTATTTATAAATAGTATATGTTTTCCCATTTTATCTTCGTTGTTGTTTTAAAGAAAAAATAGTAAAAAATGTATGAGAGATTACTCACATATGTGCAAATTGGATGGAATATATGCTCCTAAATTATTCAACAAATGTGGCAATATGACAATATGGCATGCGATAACACCATTATCACTTTGGAATGATGGGATGATTGTACGGTAACACCATTATCTCATCAACCTTTCTTCAACTCAAGCAATTGGAACTAGGTAGCCTGGCGCAGGCTCTAATGTTGAACATCTCAGTCCCAACCCAAAATGGCACACCCATAATTATGTACTCACTCCTCTAACTGCATCAACTATCCCATTCACACAACCATTGAACAAATGATCTGCCAACCTGCTCGAATGACGCCAAATATTGCCCATAATACCTTTTTGCCACCATAATAAAAAAATGTTGTTGTGCACCCTTTTAATACAGCCACTAATCCTCATGTTACAAAATATATTGATCATTTCATATTTTCTATACAACATTAAATAATTAAGCATATTTTTTTTTTATATGAGAGTTTAAGGAACCTAACTCTTGATCTTCTACAGTACAATATATAAGGGTAAAATGGTACTGATGGAGATAACAAAATTCTAACTAGACTGAGTAACTTAATTACCAAAGTCATAATAATGATCAAGCATAGCTCATTTCGTGAAATCAAATTCTATCAGCCAAACACAAAAAAAAAAAAAAAAAAAAAAAAAGAGAGGTGGATTGGTTAGTGTACAATTCATAAATTTCATTTTTGGGTACAATGGGCAGATGCAAAAAGACTAAGTTAGATGATTGAATATAATTAAAAATTGAAAATAATAAGAAATTGTTGTGATGGACACAAACACAATTTATAAAATAATCACTGAAGAAATATAAAAATATCTAAAACAACACATCTTTGGGGCGCGTAGCGCCCGTGATGCAAAAATGCCTCTCGCACGCACGTTAGTGCGTGCAGAGAGGCTAGTATTACATTAAGGGAAGAGGGAAAAGGTTAAACCCGTAAAATAGTAAGTTAATGAGGAAGATCATATGGTCCTATTCAGCAAGTATAAATTACTGTGGGAAATCTACAATAATACTAAAAAGAATCCAAATCTAATCTATACTAAAACTCAAAATCAAATGTGTTAGTGTACATAAGCACAGTGTGCTTCCTATTTTACCCTCAGTTAGTTTGTATTATTTCAAGTCTGCCACTGAATCGCAATCCTAGAGACCAGTTGCAAACGTCTCTCTTCTTCCTGCTCCATTGTTAAAGATATGGCTTCAATTCCATTCCCTCCCCTTTTCCCTTGAACGGGAAATCTGAGACCCATAACTTAAGAATCACGTCACCCCTCTCCTTGGCTTGCCGCTCTCCTTATCTCCCGGTGATTCATTCTCCTTATTGGATTGTATTTGGGTGAGTACCTGGTTGATACTTTAGTCGTTGTTTTGATCAATATTTTCTGCGTTATTTTCTTTTCGTTTGTGGTTTCTTTTTTTTAAATTTTTTTTGGGGGTTTGATGAATGAATTTGTGTGGGAGTTTTTGATGTTTTGTTAATGATGTTGTATTTGGGCCCCTGGGTAAGCTCAGAAACCTTTGTAGATGCCGCATGCATGTAGTTTTTTCTTCAAACATATGAAGAATTGTTAGTCTGCTATACAATTTCCTCTGCCATCTTGGAAAATCAACATGCACAGACATTTTAGAATTCTTCGTTTAAATTTGCAGGGTTTAGGACAGTTTTTCTTTTAAAGTTATGGGTTCTTTTGATATGATTTTTTTTATTTGAATTATTCATTTAATTTTTGAGATCTTTTATCAAATCTCCAAATTGACTCATAATGATTAGGCTTGAAACAGATGCTGTTAATCAGTTTGGTGGAGGAGTTGTTCCACAGCCTCAGGAAGAACAGAGGAATGTTTTTGAAATAAGGTCTGATCGAAACTTTTGTATAAAATTTCACAATTTTTGAGTTTTAAGCCATTCAAATTGGTTTGTTAAGTAGGTTACCTATTGAGTTTTAAGCCATTCAAATTCACATCTGCCTACATTAATATATTAAGTAGGCTACTTATTGATTTTTCTTTTGGGATTTTCTATTTTTCATGGTTTCCTAATCCTTTGTCCGACTTTAGTGTGTAGCTAAGCATACCAGCAAATCAAAAGGTTTTTTGAGACAGAGGGGTGCTCTGGCTATTCCAATAGTTTCGGTAGTGCTGGCATTGGTACTAATCATTGTGTTTGCCTACTGGCGGCGTAAGAAAAAGAGCAAAACAAAAGGTATGAGAAGTAGTCATCCCCTCTGAATTGTTTAACGGTTTGATCTAAATAAAAGCAATGCGATTTCATCTTAATGAATGTCTACAATTAGTTCATGTGATAGCACAGACTGTGTGGAGATAGATGAACTTGAGGAAGCTAGGAGACACCCCAAGTTGCAATATTTCGGTCTGAGCACCATTATAGCAGCCAAACAAGTGCCAATGTCATTACATTTGATAATTCAAATCAAATTAGTAAAGGTCAAGCCAAATTTCAAAAAAACAGACAAGGTAATTATCTATTTAACTTACAATTTATTTTGAGTTGATTATGCGTATTACTGTGTTACTAATTAGTTGCATTTTTTTTCTTATTTTTCTCCCTTTTCCACACTTATTTATTTTTATATAGGCAATATTGTGGAATATGTGGATTTGGGAGACAAGAATTACAAGTGCCTACTTGAAAAATCGAAAGATTTGGTCTAATTTTGTTCACATGTTGAGTTGCTCTAACACGGAACTATATCTTATAAATATCGCATAATATAGGTATGAATATTTCATTTGGGTTGTCGATGAGGCCAACAGGAAAATCTAGAGATAGAGTTGAAACTTCATCGTTTTGCTCCATACTTGCCTACTGCTTCCTTTCTCCTCTGGTTTTTTATGACCTAAAAAAGCAGTAATGAATGATGAGGTGGGTTTTGATTTATATATGCAAAGTGTCCGTAAGTGCTGCTTATGATAATTTTGTTGGGGATCCTATTACTATGTACTAGCTTGCGCCAATGAGTTTTTTATTTGATTCGAGAGAAATTGAGGAATGAGAAATCGTTTTTTGCTTATGCTTTTTTTTAGGTGTACTAAATTGGATGGCCAATACAAAATGTGAACAAATCTTGCTTTTTAATTTTTGTGTGCCTGCAAATCATATGCAGTTTAGATTCATTCAATTCTTTAGTGATCGAGTTCTATTTTTAATTTTTTTTTTTTTCAGTTCATCGTTGTCGTACATGACAAGGGAGACACTATTAATGGAAGGAGTTACACATATGGGTGTATTTAGTGGAACAAATTTTACTTTTTGAGATTTGTGCAGTTTTAAATGTTAAAATCTCCCTGAGATAGGACCATAGCTTTTGAAGAACAATCCATGAGGATGGCATACTAACATCCTCCATTTTTGGCATGTAATATGTGAATGTAAATAGTACTCTCTGGCTATGGCTATGGCGTACTCTCTCGTACATATTTTCTCACGTATATATACCCTACTTTTTACACATTTAAGGCAGTTTTGAAACCCGCAGCATCGTGCGGGCTTCACTGCTTGTTCATTCTAATACTCACAATATTACGTTGTTCTAGTTCTTTTTCTTTCTTAGGGAGTTTCTATACCTTGTTCAAAATAACTGCAATGTATTCCCAAAAATAAAAACACAATAAATTGAAATCAAATTATGTGTAATCATGATATATTATTAGTATTTGGGATTCTCCAAATCCATGCCTTCCTTTCGTGATTATCCATCGCAAGTCAGGTCAAGCTAAATGTGAAACAACCCAAAACGAGTCATAATTGTTTGTCGCACAAGAAACATGAATGTGACTCAAAAATATGTTTCACATGTTCTTGTTACCAAAGCAAATCAAATATGGGTGTGTATAAAGTGCGGACGAAGCGTGCGGATCATCCGTGCAAACAACGATCTAACGGCTGAGAAGGGACAAGCTCATAAGTAGAATTGGGTTGTTGTGACCTGGTCCAACTAAAAAATTTTAAATTTTTTATTGAGTTTGTATCTTTTGTCTAAGGTAGAGAAACAGGGAGCAAGAAGGAAAGAGGGATTTTTGTGCACATTGAAGAGGAAAAGAGAGGGGAAGAGAGGCAGAGAGAGGGAGTTGGAGTTAGAAACGGATTTGAGGTGGATTGAACTTTTGAACGAGCATCATAATTGTTTGTCATACACGCAACATGAATTGTGACCCAAAATATGTTTCACATTTTAAGCAAATCAAATATATTTCTTCTGTGAAAGTGATGGGAGCTTTTTACTTATAGGTTGAGGATGCAAATTTCTTCCTCTTTACTCTTGGACAAAATTGCAGCTACAAAACAAAAAACACCTTAGGTCAAGGCCAAGTGCCTCACGCGCCCATGATGAATGATGGGGGGGGGGGCTTTGGCCGAAGAACCTCCGATGTCAATGTTAGAATTTTAAAGGAAAAATGTTTGGAGAATTTAGAGAGTTTTGAAAGAGAATGAGAATTGAGTTTTGGAGAGAATGTGGGGGTTTATATAGGGGTGTGGCTGGCCCTCTTGGGAGAGGAAGGACCGGCCACTTGGATGGTTTTGTGGGTTAGGTTCATGATTTGTGGTTAATTAGCTAATTAATGGAATAATTAATTAATTAATTAGTTAATTAACAGAATAAAAGAGGAATGATTTGGGGGTTAACTTGTGGAGAATATATGATGAGGATGGATGAAATAGGTTATAAATAAATACCTATTTTGGGCACTTTTGACTTCATTGAGCAATGATTGTCCACTGTTCGAGCGTAGGAATTCCGTTATGCTTCGAGAGTAATTTGTCATTTTCACCCAAGAATTCACGTGTCACCTCCATATTATTCTTGATTATTTTTGGCTCCTAAGGTCCTATTAAAATCTTCCCCTTAACTCAAACCCCAAACACTCAACAACATAAATCATGAATCTCTCTCTCTCTCTCTCTCTCTCTCTCTCTCTCTCTCTCTGTGAATGGCAGGTGGCAATACCAAATCATTTTGACTCTCTCTCTCTGAATGGTAGGCTGCAATACGAAATCATTTTGATATGCAATTCTTGTTAGAGTATGGAAAGCAAATATACTTCATATTTTATTTTTATTGGTTCATTTAACCAAACGATATTAAGTGCTATTTTGACGTCTATATTGGCCTATCTTGGACAATCTACTAGATTCATTGACTGATGAATAAAAATATGATTGTCAATTTGCATATTTTGTCCAAGTGAAGGTAGAAGATTAATAAGTCATGAAAGCCTTAGCAAACAGAAATTAGTTATGAACAATCATAAAACCAAATATTATTAAAAACATAGATAGCAAACACCTTCTAAATAAACTTGAATCTTCAAAACCTAGCTAAGTTCCAAATAGATGCGTTCTTCTCTTCCTCCCCTCTCTCAAACCCCTAATGGCTAAAAAGCCTTATTTATACTACTACAAAATAAAATCCTTACTAGAAAAAGTTTTCTAAAAACTAGGAAACATAATAGAATAAGATAACAAGGAAATACATTCATATTCTAACTTTGAAAAATTTGTCCAGCCACAAAGAATCCCACGTTTCTGGATATTCAGGGCTCCAAAACAGGACGAAACGACTTGAATTAAAGCTTGAGATGTCCCGAACATAGTTGCGGAAGACCTCAAACCCAAAAGATATCATCTTGGATGCCAAAAAGCCCAAATAAGCCCAAAACGTCACTTTGACAGCACTGCTCGCTGCTTTTTTATTTCATTGTCATAAATAAATCGTTCAGTGGAAAAATCTAAAACTTTGACACAATCAAATTGAGAGACACATGAACATCCTCCAATTAGAATCACTCCAAAATTCGTTTGTTTGAATAGTTTTTGCTCAAGAAGAAATCAAATGTCCTACATTGGAAATATAATTCAAAGTATCATAATTCTCACAAAATAACTAATAAACTAACAGTAAGATTAGGGAAAAATATATAATAGGAAGTCGACTCATCAGGCACCCTTGGCCTCTGCTGCTCAATGTTCATGAACCCAGAAGGAGAATTGAAGAAAAGGACGCTGGCCTTTCCATCGTCAACGTGGCGTGGCTTATCAGTCCTTGGAATCTAATTTTTTTGAACGTGGTTGACATCAGCATGACATTAGATCACTCAGGCGCTAGGTCAGTCCAGAATTGCCTGATTTGGTAGTCTGGTAGTCTTGGGCTCATATGTAGCCGACTGATTCGATTGGGGCAGACATGAACGTTGAGGTTTTGGGGAATTCAATTTCCCATTCGCTTTAGTAATTGGGTAGGGGTGGACTTGCTCTAAGAGCATCTCTGTTGGCAATTAGGTAGGGGTAGACTTGCTCTAAGAGCATCTCTTTTGGGAAGATGCAAATTTGACATGCAAAAGGAAGTTCTACTTTAATGAGATAAATGTAAATTTAAGATCCTATTTAATTTTATCCCATTGATTGGCGAGTCCCACTATCAAAAGATGTAAATAGAGGTTTTTATTTATATTTTCAGCCAAGATATATATTTTATATCTCTCAATTGGAGAGTTTTCCGGCCAACCAAAAATGTAAAGTACATATTTCAAGACATTTGGCATCTCGAATGGGAATAGCGATCATCATGACAGTTGATAGTATAAAGAAATTTTAAGTGAAGTAAACATTTTTTTTGTGAACCTTATGTAAAATACGATTCCTCGATTGATTATGTACATTTGTTGGAAATTATATATTATAATTAATATAATAATATTTAATTTTTGTATCAATGAAAACTAAGAGTCATGTGTCATAGTTGAATTCAAATTCATGAGTTGTATCTGCTTGTTGGAACTTTAGGCAACAATCATAATGTTTCAAAAATCGTGGCTTGAGTTCTATATAAACTCAAGCATCCCACCCATCTAATAGAATTAAGAGAAGAGTTTTCTCCAATGTCTTAGTAAAAATCCGAGTTGTGTCTTGAGAATGCAGAATGTATGAAGTTCATCAGAGTTGAAGATTGAAGTGCTTTGACTTCGGATTATAGATTGTTGAATACTGAGAGACGGACACCTACTGAACTACAAACACAAGAGTAGGGGCAAAATTTTATCTTTAGAACATTGCATTTATGCAACCCTCAAACTCCAAGTTTGTCAAATTTTCTAACTTTCTCTCTAGTTGTTTGTATTAATCTCATACATAAATTAATGTTGTGAATTTTTTTTTTATGATTATTATTAATAGAATTCTTGTGTTATTTTCATATTTTCTAATATTGCTCCAACATAAATATTACAGTAAATACAGTACTACTAAACCCATATGTGGTAGAAATTCTAAATTAATTACAATGAGTTAACTTGGCATATAAGGAAAAAAAAATTAATAAATAGGGAAAAAAAAGAAGGTCTACTGTCGCTGAGCGGCACTCCCCGCCCCCAACAAACACCACCACCCTACTACTTAGTTCAGATGACACTGGTCTTCCATCTCTTTATGTTTCTCTCTCTCTTTCCTTCCTCTTTCTCTCCCTCTCGATCTTCTCTCTCTATCCTCGTTGGTACGGCATGCCGACTAATCGGAGCCCATAATTGCCCATAATTAGACAGCTTTAGTCCGACAAACTAAGCTTAAGTTCGTTAACTATACTACTTGCCTCCCAA